CCCGATTCGGCCGAGGATGGGTTACCACCCGCAGCCCGGACGCAAGGGTTTCCCCCTGCGCCCGATTCGGCTGACGATGGGTTACCACCGCCAGCCCGGACGCAAGAGTTTCCCCCTGCGTCCGATTCGGCCGAGGATGGGTTACCACCCCCAGCCCGGAGACAAGGGTTCCGGCTGAAGATGGGTTACCACCCCCGGCCCGGACGCAAGGTCTCCCCCTTGCGCCCGATTCGGCTGACGATGGGTTACCACCGCCAGCCCGGAGACAAGGGTTTCCCCCTGCGCCCGATTCGGCGGACGATGGGTTACCACCGCCAGCCCGAGACAAGGGTTTCCCTTTGCCCCCGCTTCGGCCGAGGATGGTTTTCCACCCCCGGTTCGGACGCAAGGGTTTCCCCCTGCGCCTGGCCGCCGTCGTGGTCCTCACCTCCTGTTCCTCCCGTTCCTCCTCGCTTGGTGGGTCGGGCGAATCGCTTTCTGAAGAGCGCGTAGGGATGGGGCTCCCGCCTGAGACTTCCTCACAGTTCACTCACAGACGAGGCTCCCCGCTTGATACTTCCTCCATATTCAGGCATCGGGAGCTCCTCGGATAAAACACGTGAAGTGCTGGCCCCGTAAGGAGGGGGCTCCCGTCTGACACTTCTCACAGTTCACTCGCAGACGAGGCTCCCTTCCTGATACCTCCCCTATATTCAGGTTTCAGGAACCCACGCATGACGACAGTTACAGGGAGGAGGATGACTCGTTCGGATTAATAGCAGTAAATGCGGGCACCATAGGGAGAGGGCTCCCGCCTGAGACGTCCTCGCAGTTCACTCACAGACGAGGCTCCCGCCTGACACTTCTCCCATATTCAGGCTTCAGGAGCCCAGAAGTAACGACAGTTTACAGGGATCAATTCTGCTGTGCGGCTTGTGCCGCTAATCTTGGCCATTCCTCTGCTGTGCGGCATGTCGCGCTAGCATTCGCCTGGCCCACGTGAGCGCCACAATTTTGTCAGGGCGCGCGCTCTGCCAACAAGAACACGCCATATGTATTTTTTGAAACAGGTGCACTTGGGGCGCTGAATTGCCGTGCTTGCAGGACGACTCTTGTGCTTGCGACTCCTGCCTACACGCGCAATGCATTGCGATCACGTCCGTGTGTCATCGCCACTTGTTAGCTGGGGGCAACGAGGGTACGTGCCCCTGCCACCGCCAGTTTTGAAGACATCCCGCCGAGCCCGCAGAAGACTGTGTGTTTCAAGCTACTGTTCCCCCACGGTGCCACAGTTTGTTTGCCTCTGCACCGTGTCAGCAGGATGGAAACCAATGCGCCGTCCTGGACAGCGGTCGTTATCCGCGTGAGCCGTGCGGCGAGAGGCGTCGAGCTGCCAGTTTACGCTGCACGCCCAATTTGGGGCACGCCAACCCCCCTGGGCGAAAAAAATGACAGTTTACAGGGATGGGGATGACCCGCTCGGATTAAAAGTTACCCTGCGACGTACCCAACCCTTTCTACACATGTGGCGATGAACTTCAGGACCGCTCAATGCAAGCCCTTCAGGACGGCGAGGTCCCGAGGTGGTCCGCGTGGGACGTGCCTCCGCTGGACCTCCCATGAGCCCACGAAAGTGGCGACAGTTGCGCAGATCGCAAGCCGCCCCCAGGGGCGGCGAGGTCCCGAGGTGGTCCGCGTGGGACGTGCCTCCGCTGGGCCTCCCAGGAGCTTGCGAAAGTAGCGACAATTGTGCAGATCGCATGCCCCCCAGGGGGGCGGCGAGGCCCCGAGGTGGTCCGCGTACCTCCGCTGGGCCTCCCAGGGGCCCACGAACGTGCCGACAGTTGCGCAGATCGCAAGCCCCCCGGGGGCGGCGAGGTCCCGAGGTGGTCCTCGTGGGACGTACCTCCGCTGGGCCTCCCAGGAACCCACGACGGAGGTGGTCCGCGTTGGACGTACCTCCGCTGGGCCTCCCATGACCTCACGAACGTGGCGACATTTGCACAGATGGCAAGCCCCCCAGGGGGCGGCAAGGTCTCGAGGTGGTCCGCGTTGGACGTACCTCCGCTGGGCCTCCCAGGAGCCCACGAACGTGGCGACAGTTGCGCAGATCGCAAGCCTCCCAGGAGGCGGCGAGGTCTCGAGGTGGTCCGCGTTGGACGTACCTCCGCTGGGCCTCCAAGGAGCCCACGAAACTGGCGACCGTTGCGCAGATGGTAAGCCCCCCAGGGGGCGGCGAGGTCTCGAGGGGGTCCGCGTGGGACCCACCTCCTCTGGGCCTCCCAGGAGCCCACGAAAGTGGCGAGGGTTGCGCAGATGGCAAGCCCCCCAGGGGGCGGCGAGGTCTCGAGGTGGTCCGCGTTGGACGTACCTCCGCTGGGCCTCCCAGGAGCCCACGAAAGTGGCGACAATTGCGCAGATGGCAAGCCCCCCAGGGGGCGGCGAGGTCTCGAGGTGGTCCGCGTTGGACGTACCTCCGCTGGGCCTCCCAGGAGCCCACGAAAGTGGCGACAGTTGCGCAGATGGCAAGCCCCCCAGGGGGCGGCGAGGTCCCGAGGTGATCCGCGTGGGACGTACCTCCGCTGGGCCTCCCAGGAGCCCATGAAAGTGGCGACAGTTGCGCAGATCGCAGCCCTGAGGGCGCCGCGAGGTTCGAGGTGGTCCGCGTGGGACCCACCTCCGCTGGGCCTCCCAGGAGCCCGCGAAAGTGGCGACAGTTGCGCAGGTCGCAGCACCCCAGGGCGCCGCGAGGTGTCGAGGTGGTACCCACCTCCGCTGAGCCTCCCAGGAGCCCACGAAGTGGCGACAGTTGCGCAGATCGCAGCCCCCCAGGGCACCGCGAGGTCTCGAGGTGGTCCGCGTGGGACGTTCTCCGCTGGGCCTCCCAGGAGCCCACGAAAGTGGCGACAGTTGCGCAGATCGCAGCCCCCAGGGCGCCGCGAGGTCTCGAGGTGGTCCGCGTGGGACTGGGCCTCCCAGGAGCCCACGAAAGTGGCGACAGTTGCGCAGTCGCAGCCCCCAGGGCGCCGCGAGTTCTCGAGGTGGTCCGCGTGGGACCCACCTCCGTTGGGCCTCCCAGGAACCCACGAAAATGGCGACAGTTGCGCAGATCGCAGCCTCCCCGCAGGGCGCCGCGAGGTCTCGAGGTGCTCCGCGTGGGACCCACCTCCGCTGGGCTTCGCAGGAGCCCACGAAAGTGGCGACAGTTGCACAGATCGCAGCCCCCAGGGCACCGCGAGGTCTCGAGGTGGTCCGCGTGGGACCCACCTCCTCTGGGCCTCCCAGGAGCCCACGAAAGTGGCGAGGGTTGCGCAGATGGCAAGCCCCCCAGGGGCGACAGTTGCGCAAATCGCAGCCCCCGGGGCACCGCGAGGTCTCGAGGCGATCCGCGTGGGACCCACCTCCGCTGGGCCTCCCAGGAGCCCACGAAAGTGGCGACAGTTGCGCAGATCGCAGCCCCCAGGGCACCGCGAGGTCTCGAGGTGATCCGCGTTGGACGTACCTCCGCTGGGCCTCTCAGGAACCCGACAGTTGCGCAGATCGCAGCCCCCAGGGCACCGCGAGGTCTCGAGGTGGTCCGCGTTGGACGTACTTCCGCTGGGCCTCCCAGGAGCCCACGAAAGTGGCGACAGTTGCGCAGATCGCAGCCCCCAGGGCACCGCGAGGTCTCGAGGTGATCCGCGTAGGACGTACCTCCGCTGGGCCTCCCAGGAGCCCACGAAAGTGGCGACAGTTGCGCAGATCGCAGCCCCCAGGGCGCCGCGAGGTCTCGAGGTGATCCGCGTTGGACGTACCTCCACTGGGCCTCCCAAGAGCCCACGAAAGTGGCGACAGTTGCGCAGATCGCAGCCCGACGGCACGAGAGAAGAGGAGAGGGGAACACAGGAAACAGGAGAGGAGGAGGGGAGGAGGGGGGAGGAGAAAAAGGACGGGGCGACCACACTGCTCTATTCAAAACGAGTACCCAACCATAGGAGGGTTGGGAAAAACATTAAGGGCGGGCTCCACAGGGAGGGGGCTCCCGCCTGAGACTTCCTCACAGTTGAGTCACAGACGAACTGAATGAGTGATGATGATGATGATGATGATGATGATGATGATGATGATGATGATGATGATGATGATGATGATGATGATGATGATGATGATGATGATGATTCTGATGCTGATGATGATGATGATGATGATGATGATGATGATGATGATGATGATGATGATGATGATGAGGATGATGATGAGGATGATGATGAGGATGATGATGAGGATGATGCAGATGAGTGAGTGGGTGAGTGAGTGTGTGATCGAGTGATGGTCAAGGTGATCAAGATGGTCTGTGTGTGTGAGAGTGAGTGTGAGTGTGAGCGAGTGTGTGTTCCTGCGCGGGGTGTACGGAGAAAACAGAACCCCATTTTGGATGTGGAGAAAAAACTAGGTCCTCTACCGTCTGTCCTCGACCCTTGATCCTCCAATTCCCCTTGTGGTCTGGTGGCCATCCGGGCGACGTAGCAAATCAGGGACGACAGCGCGGACATCCGCGCCCATGCTGCCCGCGCGAGGTCGCGCGTAAGCGACCTTCCAAGCGGCGTCGTAAGGGCCACCGCGCAGGTTGCCGAGTAAGGTCGCCGCGTCTTCGTGCGTAGGATTAGGCGGCCCGCAAGAGGGCGAAGACAACCTCGCTTTGCGCGTCGCGGCCTGGACTGGAGAGCGCGCCCCTCTCCTGGGGCAGCGGCGCGAGGGCGCGAAGATGACCGCTCGGGGGTCCTAGAACCGTGCCATGACGGACTGCACGGTGACCCCGAAATTCCAAGAGACCAGAGACCTCGCCGCGCGGTCCGTCACCGCACGGTATCGGGACCTCGGAGGCCCACGTCGCCCGTGTCGTCCTCGGAGAACGGCCCGTGGCTCACCACGAGGCGTGGCCACCGCACCGTTTGGGCGGCCCCCGAACCGCGCTTCGCACATCGCGGGGCTTGGCGCGCAGCCCGCCCTCGCTGCTCCTCCGCCCGCCCTCGCGGCGCCACAGTTGTTCAGTCCCCCCCCCCACCGGGCGGGCGCCGGCCTCGGGCCATGGGGCAGCCTCCGCGGTGCGGCCACGGACTCGGGGGGCGGGGGGCTGAGGGAGGAGGGAGCGGAGTGAGTGGAGTGAAGAGTGGGTGAGGAGTGACGATACATAGGGAGGACCCCCCTCATAGGCTTCTTCAATCATTCCTATTCGCCGCGGGACGTGGCCCCGTGAAAGACGTCGAGCGGTCCATGGTCCTGCAATTCAGGCAGGAGCCCTGTCCTGAACATGAGTTGCCATCCACGTTGCGGGCTCTACGGACGGCGACGAGGTAGGATCAGAAAGTTCAAGGACGTGTTCAGCGAGAGCCCCGCTATGCAAAGAAACCGCCCTCAATCCGTACAACGGTTCTACACTGTTACAGGCCTGGTGAACAAGTCCTGGAGAAGTTTAAACCAGAACCCCGACTCGAAATTTAACCGGCCTCCATCCGTGTAACTGTTGTGCAATTCGAGCGTTCTTTTCAAATGATCTCGGAGAAGGACCCAACCATGTGATGTTGTACATACAGCCTTTGTGAGAACTGCTTTTGCTGGATCTCCCCATGGGCACGAAGCGGGCAAAGGGTGCGCCTCAATGGGGCGGGGCCGTCATGCGGGCGCTGCAGTTGGGGCCGTCGGTGGATCTCCCTATGGGGCCACGAAGCGTATGTGGGGTGTGCCAAAGTTGAGTGGGCGGCATGCTGCTGCTGATTGGGATGATGTTTATGATGATACCGATGATGATGATGATGATGATGATGATGATGATGATGATGATGATGATGATGATGATGATGATGATGATGATGACGATGATGATGACGATGACGATGACGATGACGATGACGATGCTGCTGATGATGATGGTGATGTTGTTGATGTTGATGTTGATGATGCTGATGATGCTGATGATGATGATGACGATGCTGATGATGATGCTGATGGTGATGATGACGATGATGATTGTGATGCTGATTATGATGATGCTGATGATGATGATGATGATAATGATGATGCTGATGCTGATGATGATGATGATGATGATGATGACGATGCTGCGACTTATGATGATGATGATGATGATGATGATGATGATGATGAGATGATGACGATGCTGATGCTGATGCTGATGATGATGATGACGATGATGATGATGCTGCTGCTGATGATGATGATGATGATGATGATGCTGATGATGATGATGATGACGATGCTGCGACTTATGATGATGATGATGATGATGATGATGATGATGATGATGATGATGATGATGATGATGATGATGATGATGCTGATGCTGATGATGATGATGATGCTGATGATGATGATGATGATGATGATGATGATGATGATGATGATGATGCTGATGCTGATGATGATGATGATGATGATGATGATGATGATGCTGATGCTGATGATGATGATGATGATGATGATGATGATGATGATGATGATGATGATGCTGCTGCTGCTGCTGCTGCTGCTGATGATGATGATGATGATGATGATGATGATGATGATGATGATGATGATGATGATGATGATGATGCTCGCAATGTTGGCGTCAGAGACAGACTTCTTTATTATTGGCAATCGGGGACCACGTTGGTTTGAATATGAAGCCGTTTTTCCCCGTGCGGGCGTCTATGCCGATCGCCGCAAAAAACGGGAAGAAGCGGAAGACACAGATGGAGCAGATCGACACGCACCATTGGCATCTGCTTCGAGATATGCCCGGTGGGATGGTGCAGTATTGGGCAACAGATCTTTGTTTAGGACGCACCTGCACAGTACAGATAGTTACGGACAGTCAAATATTGGCAGATATTCTTGCGGGCAGGGCGAAGCACGAAGAGCACACCCATGACCTCACAATGGACATCTCGACAAACATGGCGGACACTTTCCTCACTACGAATTGGGGGCCAAGAGACACCACAGGCGATCCAGTCATATGGAGACGGAGGGATTTTAACAATAGAAGCTGATTATTTAGCGAATTGGGCAATGGACGCGGAGGACGATTTCTGGTATTATAGTGGCATCAAGTGTACGGCCGGTTCGGATCTCAGACTGTTGGGGTGGACCGATGGGGGTTGTCGCAACGAACAAAATGTATCTGCATACGCTTGGATTCTCAAGGGCCAGCGCGCTGATTCCTCCATTGTGATCGCCGCGGCATGTGCCAAGTATTATCCAGTGAAGGCCCAGAGCAGCTTAGAACTCGAATGTTTAGCTATGCGTTCACTTTGGGATTTTGTTCGCGACTTTATTGCCAGTGGAGGGCGGGCAGGCATCCCCCAGATACCCCACGCAACGCGCAAACGACGTAGATGTTGGGCAATCCGCCATTTTCTCGTGTAGCTGATTCTCTATCCTTGGGTATCACCGGCGAGACGTATGAGCTCAAAGCTGCTGCGAAAGAAAGATGCTGATGCTGATGCTGATGATGATGATGATGATGATGATGACGATAATGTTGAAATTGCTGATCATTATGGTGCTGCTGATGATGACGATGATGCTGTTGATGCTCCTGTTGATGATGCTGACGCTGATGCTTGTGTTGTTGTCGATGATGATGCTGATGAGGAGGAGGAGGAGGAAGAGGAGGAGGAAGAGGGGGAGGAGGGGGAGGAGGAGGAGGAGGAGAAGGAGGAGGAGGAGGAGGACAAGGAGGAGGAGGAGGAGGAGGAGGAATAGGAGGAGGATGCGGAGGAGGAGGATGCGGAGGAGGAGGGGGATGCTGAGGAGGAGGATGTTGAGCAGGAGGAGGAGGAGGAGGAGGAGGAGGAGGAGGAGGAGGCGGATGATGAGGACGAGGAGGAGGCGGAGGAGGAGGAGGAGGAGGAGGAGGAGGAGGAGGAGGAGAAATAGTTGGAGGCGGATGATGAGGACGAGGAGGATGATGAGGAGGAGGAAACTGAAGCGGGGACACCGGCTGCCAGACATTTGGAGCGGCTTGGAAGGGAGGCGTGGGGTGCGGATGGAGGTTGCTGCGTCTGGCCGCACTCGGGGTGTGGTCAGACGGCCCAGCTGTGGCCCAAATTGGCCTCGAGCCATTGTCAAGACGGCCTTCAGGGACTTCAGACGGCAAATCGGCTTTTCAATCGGCCTAAGAGGCTTCCACGCCGCCCCAAGCAAAATTATTCCCCGCAGTGCCCTCAAATGCAGCATTCATTGTTTGTCTCAGCGTGTTTGTCGGATTTTTGAGTTGTCGCGTTTTTGGGCTTGCAGCGCTGCATGACGCCCCCCCAAAAACCACCAATGATCCCCCACGACGGCCCAAGAAGCACTTGATGGGGGCCCCCAGACGGCTCAAGGGGGCCCCAAGACGGTCCAGGACTCTCCCAAGACGGCCTATTAGGCCTCCAAGAGTGCTTAACAAAAACAAGCCAAGAGAGGGTGAGCGACGTGGCCTTCGGAGACTTCCCCCAATATGTATCACGGGACCCCAGAGGCCCCGAGAGATGACCCCTCCAAGACGCTCCACTAGAGCACCGAAACGATTCCAGCAGGGCCCAGAGAGGCAGCATTCGTGGTCTTTCGTAACTTCCATATGTACTTGACGGATTCTATCGTTCTCACCTTTTCGGTCCTGCAGCGCTCCAAGATGGCCCAAGAGGTCCCCAGGATCGCCCCAAGACGGCCCAAGAGTTTCCGACAAAGGGCACGGCCCAAGAGAGCCCCACCAAGACGGCCCAAGAGGCCCCCAAGACGGCCCAACAGGCTTCCAAGAGTGCCCCCTAAGGGGCCCAAGAGAGGGACAGCGACAGGGCCTTCTGAGCCTTTTCCCCAAAGATCCGAAGACCCCAAACATGCCCCCAATACCCCCCCTACGAGGCCCCTCAGGCTCCGATGACGAGCGGTAGCCGTTGTCGTTGTAGTTGTGCCTTCGCTGTATAAATTGATCGAGATGCAAGGAAGTCTCGAGCGAGAGCGCCGTTCCTGAGTGTTGGTGCCTCTCTGGCCAGGGCGTCTCTGGGTAAACTGTGTGGAAGCACCGATCGAGAGCCGTAGTCGTCGTAGTTGGGGCTGCAGTGGGATTTGGATCCGAGCCCGCGCTCGAGCGGCAGTCCCGTTCTGCCGGCGTCGCGGCGAGAGCGCCTGGAACCGTTTCTATATTTCGACAGATGCTATTCTCTAGACAAGGGTGAGGATAACGACAACGACGAAGAGGACGAGGGCGACGAGGACGATGACGAGAACAAGGTCGAGGAAGACGACGAGGGCGAGGACGACGACGACGGCGACCTCGTCGGCGTCGGGGCAGGGCGCCAGCGAGCGGGCCGCGGGGCCGCCCTGCGCGCCGGCGCGGGGCTGCAGGCACGCTCCGCCCGCTCGGCCCGCCGCCGCCGCGGGGCCGCTGACGGTGCCGCCGCCGCTGCCGCCGCCGCCGCCGTCGTTGTCGTCGTCGTCGTCGTCGTCGTCGTCGTCCGCAGTCTCCAACACTTCGGCCAACCGATCAGCCTCCACGAGCCGGTGGGCGCGAACATTCACCGCCGCGCGAGAGCAGCGTGGGCAGCTTCCGCTTCTCGCGAACAACAGCTGACCAGCAAGTGCCGCCCTTTGGGTCGCCGAATCTGGCCACCGACGTGCGCAGCGAGAGAGGCGAAGACAGCACAATTGCAGACCCGTTGGGACCTTGTGTCGAATGCAGTCAGAGAACGACGCGACAAGCAGATCACCTCATGAAGCTTCACGGCGTCGACAATTGGGTGACGGTGCACAAGCGAAAATAATGGCGCATGGCTTCGAGAGTCGCAAACCTCGCTCGAACAAGGTGACGCGGCGAGTGCTACGCTGGCAACCAGACCTCCAGCGGCGCCAGCAGGGACAGAGGCAGCACGGTGGCCAACGCAAGTGTTGCACGCCTACTAGTGCTAACGCAGACCAGACCTTCACCGACCATCCACACAGACCCGATCGAGAGGACAACCAAACGACGTCACATGGACGCAAACAGCCCAAGATACGGAATTATGGGCGGCGTTTGAGCATCACTACACCGACCTCGCACCAGCTACCACCCAGGACCAATACCCATAAAGTGAACGCCCAGAGAAAGTCGAGACGACATGCATAGCCCGCGCCGACACGGACACCACGGATTTTCTCTTCTTCCAGCTCCTCGTCCTCCGCCTCCTCCTCCTCCTCCCCTTGTCCTCCTAACTGTTTCATGTGTCTCGCACTGCATGTTTCCAGACGGGCCAGATTCTCAAGACCACAGCCTCGCCCACGTGGTCTGAGCTAGGCCCAGACACTGTCCGCAACGGTGGTCTCATCGCATTGCATCGCCCCCCCCCGCTCCCCCTTCTGCCCCTCCTTCCTCCGCCCGCTTCCCCATCCGCAGCCTCCCTCCCCCTCCCCCTATGTCGAACCAGAGAGACGCTCACAACGCCTCAGGTGGCTCCGTTGGCGTCTGCGCAAGGTCCTCCGAAAGCTGAACAGCTTTGAGCTTCGACGGGTGTTCTTATCTCCGCTTCTCAGTCCAATATGGCTTCAAGAGCGGCCCCAGAGGCTCTCAAGAGCCCCCAAGAGGAGCCAACCCGCTTCCACTATGGCCCAATGTTGTTTCCAGAAGTGTTCCAATACGTGGGAGGAGGAGGAGGAGGAGGAGGAGGAGGAGGAGGAGGAGGAGGAGGAGGAGGAGGAGGAGGAGGAGGAGGAGGAGGAGGTGAGGGAAGGGAAAGGAGGATGAGGAGGTCGGAGACTTCTTGGGAACTTCTTGGGCGAACACGTTGGCCCAAGATGGCCTCCATGTTCGCCCAAGATGGTCCAAGATGGCCTCCAAGACAGCCCAAGAGGGTTCAAGATGCCTCCAGGTCCGCCCAAGAAGCCTCCAAAACGGTCCAAGAGGGCCCAAGAGGCCTCAAAGAGGCCTCCGAGACGGCCTAACAGGCATCCAAGAGGACCTCCAGAAAGGCCCGAAGAGCCCAAAATCATTGATTTCCCTTAGGTGATTGAAGGATTTGGGCATTTGTTTCTTTTCGGCCTTCCGACGGCCCGAGGCGGCCCAAGAGCTCCCAAAGATCGCCACACGATCGCCTAAGAGGCCTCCAAAATGGCCGCAGAACGGCCCAAGAGGCTCCCAAGACCGCCCCAGGAGGGCCCCAAGACAGCCCAAGAGGCCTCCAAGACGCCCAAGATGGCCGCCAAGACGGCCCCGGACCACCCAAAGAAGGCCTCCAATCGACGCGGAGAGGCCCCCAAGACAGCTTCCGACGGCGTCAGACGGGCCAGATTCTCAAGACCACAGCCTCGCCCACGTGGTCTGAGCTAGGCCCAGACACTGTCCGCAACGGTGGTCTCATCGCATTGCATCGCCCCCCCCCGCTCCCCCTTCTGCCCCTCCTTCCTCCGCCCGCTTCCCCATCCGCAGCCTCCCTCCCCCTCCCCCTATGTCGAACCAGAGAGACGCTCACAACGCCTCAGGTGGCTCCGTTGGCGTCTGCGCAAGGTCCTCCGAAAGCTGAACAGCTTTGAGCTCCGACGGGTGTTCTTATCTCCGCTTCTCAGTCCAATATGGCTTCAAGAGCGGCCCCAGAGGCTCTCAAGAGCCCCCAAGAGGAGCCAACCCGCTTCCACTATGGCCCAATGTTGTTTCCAGAAGTGTTCCAATACGTGGGAGGAGGAGGAGGAGGAGGAGGAGGAGGAGGAGGAGGAGGAGGAGGAGGAGGAGGAGGAGGAGGAGGAGGAGGAGGAGGTGAGGGAAGGGAAAGGAGGATGAGGAGGTCGGAGACTTCTTGGGAACTTCTTGGGGGGTCTCTCAGAGGCCTGTTGGGGGCCTCCTTGGGCCTCTTGGAGGGCTTTTGGGCTTCTTTGGGGCTTCTTTGGCCGTCTCACGGCCTTCTTGGCCCCTGGCCCGTCTGACGCCGTCGGAAGCTGTCTTGGGGGCCTCTCCGGGTCGATTGGAGGCCTTCTTTGGGTGGTCCGGGGCCGTCTTGGCGGCCATCTTGGGCGTCTTGGAGGCCTCCTGGGCTGTTTTGGGGCCCTCCTGGGGCGGTCTTGGGAGCCTCTTGGGCCGTTCTGCGGCCATTTTGGAGGCCTCTTAGGCGATCGTGTGGCGATCTTTGCGGCTCTTGGGCCGCCTCGGGCCGTCGGAAGGCCGAAAAGAAACAAATGCCCAAATCCTTCAATCACCTAAGGGAAATCAATGATTTTGGGCTCTTCGGGCCTTTCTGGAGGTCCTCTTGGATGCCTGTTAGGCCGTCTCGGAGGCCTCTTTGAGGCCTCTTGGGCCCTCTTGGACCGTTTTGGAGGCTTCTTGGGCGGACCTGGAGGCATCTTGAACCCTCTTGGGCTGTCTTGGAGGCCATCTTGGACCATCTTGGGCGAACATGGAGGCCATCTTGGGCCAACGTGACCACCTTAGAGGCCATCTTGAGCGGTCTCAGATGATTTTTTGCAGACGTTGAGGTCGTTTCCGGTTCCTTTCGGCGGCTTTCCGCGGGGCCGGCGCTCTGGGCCGAAGCCCCAGGGGGAGTTCTTGTGGAAAAGAACCACAACCAAAACCGATAAAATCTAGCACGCCAGGCACCCCTGTGATGAATAAGCAGGGAGCGGTGGATCGAAGACGCCTACGGCGAATCACCGCCGTCCCCTGCCTTCCAGAATCGCCCATGTGGCCGAGCGTTGTGGCAAAAGCACTGCCAAGCTATCGGACCATGTGTGCCACCAGTCGTTGTGGAAACCCTTCGGGGAACACTTGTGGGAGAATGGTGGGGAAGATCAGGAGGAGGCGGATGAGGAGGTGGAGGAGAAGGAGGAGGAGAACCAGGAGGAGGAGGAGGAGGAGGAGGAGGAGGAGGAGGAGGGGGCATCTTGGGAGCCTCTGGGGATACTCTTGGGGCCTGCTGGGAGCTTCCTGGGAGCCTCTTGGAGGCATCTTGGGGGCCTTCTTGAGCCTCGTGGAGGCTTCTCGGGGGCCTCTTTGTCCGTCTTAGTGGGCTCCTGGCCCGTCTGACGCCGTCGGAAGCTGTCTTGGGGGCCTCTCTGGGCCGACTAGGGGCCCTCTTGGGGTGCTCCAGGGCCGTCTTGGAGGCCATCTTGGGCGTCTTGTAGGCCTCGTGGGCCGTCTTGGTGTCCTCTTGGGGCCGTCTTGGGGGCCTCCTGGGCCGTTCTGGTGCCATCCTGGAGGCCCCTTGGGCGATCTTGGGGCGATCTTTGGGGCCTCTTGGGCCGTTTCGTGCCGTCGGAAGGCCGAAAGAAGCAAATGCCAGAATCCTTCCAAAACCTGAGGGAAATCAATGATTTTGGCCTCGTCGGGCCTTCCCGGACGCTCTCCTGGAAGCCTCTTGGGTCGTCTTGGGCCACCTTAGAGCCATCTTCGGCCGTCTTCGTGGGCTCCTAGTCCGTCTGACGCCGTCGGAAGCCGTCTTGGAGGCCTCTCTGGGTCGACATGGGGCCCTCTTGGGGTGCTCCAGGGCCGTCTTGGAGGCCATCTTGGGCGTCTTGGAGGCCTCTTGGGCCGTCTTCTGGTGCCATCCTGAAGGCCCCTTGGGCGATCTTGGGGCGATCTTTGGGAGTTCTTGGGCCGTCTCGTGCTGTCGGAAGCCCGAAAAGAAGCAAATGCCCAAATCCTTCAAACAACGAAGGGAAATCAATGATATTGGCCTCTTCGAGCCTTTCTGGAGGCCCTCTCGGAGGCCTCTTTTGGCCACCTTAGAGCCATCTTCGGCCGTCTTGGTGGGCTCCTGACCCGTCTGACGCCGTCAGAAGCCGTCTTCAGGGCCTCTCTGGGCCGACTTGGGGTCCTCTTGAGGTGCTTCAGGGTCGTCTTGGAGGCTTCCTTGGGCGTCTTAGAAGCCTCTTGGGCCGTCGTTGGGCCCTCTTGGGGCCGTCTTGGGGGCCTCTTGGGCAGTCTTGAGGCTATCTTGGAGGCCGCTCGGGCGCTCTCGGGCCGATCTTGGGCCGTCGGAAGGCCGAAACGGAGCAAGCACAAACATCCTTCCCAAACCTAGGGATAATCAATGATTCTGGCCTCTTCTCGCCCTCCTGGAGGACCTCTCGGAGACCTCTTGGGCCGTCTTGGAGGCCTCTTGGGCACCCCTTGGGCCGTCTTGGGTCGTCTTGGAGGCTTCTTGGGCGGACGTGTAAGTATCTTGGACCCTCTTGGCTCGTCTTGGAGGCCATCTTGGACATCTTGGAGGCATCTTGGAGGCCATATCTTGGGCCATCTTGGTGGTCTTGAAAGCCATCTTGCGCCGTCTTGGGGCATTTTTGGTGAGACCCGGTGGGGCCTTTCGGGTGGCCGGCGGGACGGGCCGAAGCCCCGGGGGAGAGTTCTTGTTTTGGAAAAAGAACCTAAACCAAGAGCGATAGGG